AATGTGGAATTAAATTTTGTAGTGCAGGAAGTGTTATAGCATTAATGACAGATGGTGTATGTGATAATTTTGATATTAAAACATATTATCAAACTCCTAAAGAATGTGGTTTAAGTGGATTAGAATGGAGTGATGATAACGAAGAGCATTGGGAAAAAAGGAAAGAAGTATTTTATTCATCATTTTTGAGTTTGTTTTTTAATGACTCATTAGAAGAACTTTGTTTTAATTTGTATAATTTTATTATACAAAAAACAAAACGAGCAAGAGAATGTAAAGTAAAAAAAATTGAAACATTTGTTGGAGGTAAAATGGACCATTCCACATTTGCCTGTTTTAGACTTGATGATACGCTTTTTACTGAAAAAATAGTTATGAAGAAAAAGATGAAAATACCAGACGATTTAAAAGTATGAATAAACAAATACAATGTAATTGAATTTGAATATTATTAATTTGTTATATTTTTTCTATTCCAAAATGAAGATAAAATTAAAATAAAATTGAAATACCATTTATAGTAACATTAATATATTTAAAGTACTTAATAGTTTACAATACTCTGTTTTTAGTCTTTTTTAATTTTCTGAACTTTACTATATAAAGAGAACTCAATATTATTAGGTTTCAAATGAAGTCATTACTTAAGAAGAATATTAAACAAGATTATACTATTGAATTTAAACAGATATCTGGTATTGGAGTACCTGAAGGTACTGAAGTTATCCTAAAGTGGAGAAGAGGTGAAAAGAAAGAAAATAAAGGATCTATTGAAAAGGCTCAAGTCCATGGTAGTAATGTTCTTTACTCTCCTGTTCAAACTGTAAATATCCATTGTACTTTATTCCTTACTAAGAATGGTTATGAAGAAAAAGGACTTGAAGTTTCTCTTCATTCTATTGGTAAAAAAGGAAAAGAGCTTTGTAAAGGATATGTTGACTTAGCACATTACGCTGACTTAAATGGTGTTGGTAAAGATATTTCTCTTCCTCTAAAAGGAAAAGTTCCAGCCACAGTTGATATGAAAATTACTTCTCTTATTGGTGAAGCTGGTGGAAGTTCTGATGAAACAGAAGTTCTTCATATGAATCAGTCATCTAATATTGCTGCTACTACAGACATTCATGAATTACTTGTACAACAAGTTGATAAAAAGAATCATGAGATTAAAAAAGAAGAAAAAATTGAAAAAGAAGAGAATGAAGCTGAAGAGTCAAAGAAAGATAATATTGATGAAGAAAAAGAAGAAGAAGAACTTGTTGAAAAACAAAGAAAACAAAAAGAAATTCAAGAACAAGAAGAAGCTGCAAGACAAAAACAATTAGAAGAACAACAAAAAGAAGCAGCTACTTCAAGTGATAAATCTAAAGAAAAAACAGATAAGGCAAAAGAAAAGAGTTTATTTGCAGCATCAATGTCTGATGTTAAAATTAAAGGTAAAAAAGATAAGGATAAGAAAAAATTCAAACAAGAAGACATTGACAAAGCTGTTGAGCAAGCTCTTGCAGAAAAAAAACAAAAACATCATAAAAAAGTTGCTGCTTTAAAAGCTCAAATAGAAGCTCTTAAAGCTGAAAAAGATAAAGAAATAGTTTGTTTAATTTTGAATATACTCCTCTAATAACTAATCTCTTTAATCAATCAATTCTCTTGCCATAACAATATAACAAATTCTATTATCTACACACACTCATTTCTTTCATAATAATAAATAATTTGAATTATGACACTAATCATTTATAGGAAGATGCAGTTAAAGAAAAAGATATTCAAATTGAAGAATTGAATAAGAAAGTTCAAGAAGAAACAAAAGAAAAAGAAGAGGCTAAAGCTTCTTTAGCAATTTCAGTTGCTGCTGAAGCTACACTTAAAGCAGAAGTTGAAAAGAAAGATCAAGAATTAAAGAATAAGGGTGAAGAATTAGAAAAAGAAAAAGAAGAACAAGCAAAGAAAATTGAAGAAATTCAAAAAGAGAAAGAAGAACAAACAAAGAAGGTAGAAGAATTAGAAGGAGAAAAGAATAACGAAAAACAAAAGGTAGAAGAATTAGAAAAGAAAGTTAATGATTCTGAGAAAGAGAATAATGAATTAAAAGGTCAACTTAAAGACTTACAAAAGAAATTAGAAGAAACTGAAAAGAATGCTGCTGCAGGTTCTGAAGAGTTATTGAAACAAAAGAATGAAGAAATAGACAATATTAAAAAAGAAAAAGTTTGTTTTTTTATTATATATATGAGGTGAGTAGTGTGTGTTAATGAGTTTTGAGGATTGTCTTGAGTTATTTATTTTGAGTGTTTAATGAGTTATTATTGTTTGAGTTGTTGAGGGGAGAATATTTGATAATTAATATTATTTGATAATAATAAAATTTTATTATCATTTAGTCTTCTTGTTGTAGATTGTTACATGTTAACAAATATCAGCTATTCTTTATTAGAAGTTAATATAAATCAAAGAATAGCTTATTATTGTTAATCAAATATTCTTATGAGTAAGTTAGTTCTTTAGAGGAGTAAACATTTAATAACTTATTTGTAGGAAGTTTTGTCTAAAGAAAACAAACAATTAAAAGAACAAATTTCTAGTGCTGAAGAAAATTCAAATAGTATTATAGAAAATGAAAAGAAGGAGAAAGAAGATTTGAAACATCAAAATGAAGAATTAAAACAACAAATTGAAGAACTTAAAGAAGAGAATAATAAAAAAGAAAGAGAATTAGCAGAAAAAGAAGTTGTTATTGTTTCACTTCAAAAATCATCTGAAGAAGTTAATAAAAAAGATAAATCATCCTCTTCTTCCTCAGATGAAGAGGAGAATGAGAAAAAAGAGAATGGAAAGTTAATTAAAAAGTTAATGATTAGATATTCCAAATATAATAATAAATATGAAAATAATATTCCTTCTTTAGCAAATGAAATTAAAGTATTATTAAAAGGAAATAATGAAATTATTGAACTTGATCATTTAAAGAGTGTTGGAGATAATACTTTTGATAATGCATTATATATGTTATTAACATTTGCAAATCTTTCAAATAATTATATTGTTAAAAAAGTTGAACGTGATGGTAGTCTTAATACTCAACTTCTTGATCTTGAATATTTCTTCTTTATTAAGGTTATTGTTGCTTCTACTATGAAACTTAATGGTTTTCTTGAAAGTATGATGAAAGATAATCAATGTTTTGAAAGAAGAAAAGCAGCTGAATTTGAACAAGTAACTGCTGGTTATGTTCCAAAATATTTAAGTGATATTTTGAATAAACTTGAGTCTATGGGTATTAAAGAAGAATTAGTACAACAATTAATGAAACAAATTGTAAGTTATATTGCAATTCATGTTATTGAACTTCTTATAGAAAATGATAAGTTAGTTAATTGTGCTAAAGGACTTCAATTAAAATTCTTCTTTAGTATTATGGAAGCTGAAATGTCTGATATTAAAAAATTAAGTCCTTACAGAAAATACATTCAACCAGCAATTGAAGTAAGTGGATTATTGGTATTAGATCACTCAGCAGATAAATTTGACTATCAAGGATTAAAACAAACCCTTCCACATTTGACTGGAAGTACTATTTATGCTATTCTTTCAAGATTTAAGTCGGATAACTTGAATCATCAATCTATTGACCAATCTATTTTAAGCAAAATAGAAAAAGATGACGCACCTTTCCCATCTGCTCTAGATTTAATTGAATAAATGAAGTTTTCTTAGTAATTATGTTTTTTGTCAATCATATCATTTTTCTTCATACAATCTTTATTGACAAATGAAAACCCTATTATTTTATTAGTCAAAATTTAGTTCTTTGGTTTTGTAGATGATTGTTATTTGTGCTGAACTACGTAAAATTATTGCACAATTTGTGCATAACACAATTCCATTTGTTGCTTCTCTTCAAAAAAAAAGAAATTGGATAACTGATTGTTTCTTTTTGTTCATTACTCTTGTTGCAGGAACTGGTATATATGCCGCTGTTCTCCCAACAATTATATTATTTTATCCACACCCAGACTATGTTATGACAGTTATTGCGATTACTTTTACTTGTTGTTTTAATATTCTTGTTGGTAATTTCATTAAAAATTTATTTGGCTTACCTAGACCTTATGGAGAGGGTTTATGGGCTCCAGTTCCTGAAAAAGATTTTGGATTTCCCAGTACACACACTATTAACGCAATTGCCAATACAGGATTTGTTGTATTTGCTTTAACTGACAGTATTCAATATCGTATAATTTTTATAATATATGTTGTTTGTGTTTCTTTTAGTAGAATGTATATGGGAGTTCATAGTCCTGCTGATGTTTGTTGTGGAATGTTATTTGGATTTATTCATCTTATATTTATGGTAAATTTTTATCAAACGGTTATGTATATTCATTCATTACCATTAATGCTTCCTATATTCTTTATGATTCATGTTGTTATTCTTATTTTAATGCCAAGATGTAAAGAATATAATCCAACACCAAGAAGAACTGCAATGATATGTGGATGTGTATTTGCTGCTTCAGTAGTAATGTCATTTGATATGCAAACACTCACTACACATATTCTTCCAATGAAAGAATATATTATTTATCAAATACATAGACTTCCAAAGTTTATATTTGAATATATTGTTGCTATATCAATATGTTTGAGTTTATTTGGAACTATTGGATTTATTTTACCAAATATTATTATGAAGTCAGTTGAAAAAAGTGCAAAAATTAATAACCTTCTTCGTAGAATAGAACAATTTTGTTGTAAATATCGAATTCATTGTTTAAAAGATAATATTAATGAATATGAATGTGATAAAACCATGTTAAAATATACAGCTGAAATTCCACTTGCATATTTTTCAGGTTTTGTTGGTGGATTTTGTGTAGTTTATGTTGCACCAAAAGTTATTCTTGCAATGAACCCTGAAATGATACTTCCAAACTAACAAATTATTTTTTTCATTTAAAATTAATTCAATTTGAATCAATAATTATAAATAATTCTAATTATATTGTTTCGTCATTATCAAGTAAGTTAGCATCTTCAACTTCATCATAATTTTCTGTTAAAAATCTTTCAGTTTCTTTTTTAAACATAGAACGTTCACTTTCACCTAATTCTTCCCCATGTATTTGAGCAATTTTTGAATATAACATATCTTTACCAAGTTCTGCATAAGTACGAACACCTAAAGAATATTTTATTGTTTTTGATCCATTATCATTTTGAATAATAATCCTTCTTAAATACCCTTGTTTTGTTAATACTTTATCAATAAAAAATTCTAATGACGGTTGTTCTGGAACAGAACATATGTCTAACGTTCTTAAATATTGAACTAAAACTTCTTGAAATATTGCTTCTCCATTAAGCATTGTTAATGAAAGTATTATAAATGTGATTGATTGTTGAATAATCATAGAATTAGTCATTCCTTCTACTGCATATGTCTTTGGTTCTTCAATTTCTTGAATTCCATCAAGAAGAATGTAAACAGATTTTCCTGAATTACCACTTTTAATTTCTTTTAATTCAAATCCAAATTGTTTTTTTAGTCTATTAGAGGCTTCTTCCATACAACTTTTAAATGTATTTCTTGGACTTATTTTGTATTTTGCAAAAACAGTTTTTGAAATGTCATCACGTGTTAATATTTTCTTTGACACTTGATAAGCCAATACCTTTCTCATTATATCATTTACTAATAAATTAGTTTCTTCAGGTGTAAGATCACCTTTTTTTGATTGAGTCGCAATCTTTTGACTTCTTTGTGTTCTTTCGAATTTGTCAGATGGTTTTTTTGGTGAGATTTTTTCTACATCTGAATCACTATCATTAAGTAAAAGATCTGAATCTTCAAATTGATGATTATTCTTCTTTCTTTGTTGATGACTCATGAAAATAAATATTTATTTAGTATTTCTTTTTTATGTTTTTCTTTTTTTTTTCTTTTTTGTTTAAGAATTATGTAAACCCTTATTATTTATTATAGTTTTATTATAATATTATTTACTATACTTATAGTATATTTAAGAATTAGGTTATCTCAATTTATTCACTTCGCTCTGCAGAAATAACTACTTAGTAGTTAGCTATTTCTTTATTTTATTGTTGCGAAGAAGATATTTTGGCTTTGGTGACACATGGTTCTTTAACAAATGTTGTCAATCAAGTCAGCAAATTAAGAATAGTTTTAATTATTTTGTTTTTCTTTTAGAAAGAGATAATAATCAAATATTGATTGTTGAGATATGATTAGTTTGCTTTGAGGTTCTTCTTCCTTTTTTTCAAATAAAAACGTTGTTACAACTTCACTTACATCCTCTTCTAATTCTAACATTTAATTAAGATGAAAGTTTTATATTAAAATTAAATAAGACAAACGTTCGTTCCATAGATATACATTAGTGTCATCACAACAATACCATTTATTTTGTATTTTAACATAACTCCTACAATGACCATTATCATATCCATTTATATGAGTTATCATTGACTTGAGAGAATATTGTGTTTTGTTATATATAATTTCTCTATTTTGAGAAATACTTTTTGTTTGTTTCTCTATTTTGTTATTTACTATTTTGATGTTCTCAACACTTATAATGAGGTATTGAGGAGAATTTAATGACTTTAATTTAACATTAACCGTTCTTCCACAAGAACAATGAAATTCTCTAAATAATGATGAATAGAGTTGTGTGGATAAATCAAGTTGAATACCATTATTTCTAATTAGCAATACAGGCTCTTTTGAAATAACTGTATCAGTTTTTCCACATTCACAATTAATATCACATTGTAAAGACATTTCATAATAATTGCACTGTTCACACTGTTCTAATATTTGTACAAGAAATTCATTAGGATCTCCATACTGTGGATTATAACAATCAAGGAAATAAAACGTATTAATACTTTGAAGAGTAGTATTTATTAAATCAACAAAAAGTAAGCGGATTCTTTGTATTATTTCATTATTTGGAGGGTTAAAAGATAAATAAGAAACAAAAGACTTCATTGAAAATAAAAGTTGAATACAGCTATTGACATAACATCCATTATAAGAATTATTAACAAGACCAATTGGTGGAACTCTTTCAGATAATTCCATTATCAAATGATGTTAATAACATTAGATTGTTTCATATTTTTTCATTTACTTAGGGTTTGAAAAAACAGTTCAAATCAAAAAGTTTGTCATGTCAAAAAGAACAGCTCGTGAAGCATTCCCTGAAGAATATGAAGAAGAAAATGAAGAAGAAAATGAAAATATAGAAAATGAAGAAGAAAATGAAGAAGAAAATGAAGAAGAAAATGAAGAAGAAAATGAAGAAAAACAAGAGCGTACAAATAAAGAAGAAATAAATCAAAATAAAACAAAAAGTAAAGAAGAAAACGAAGAAAAAACTAAAGGAACCACATCATCATTTTTAACTGACATTGAATATAAGTCATTAAACCTTTCAGAAGAAATTCAAAAAGCACTTGAAGAAGCAGGATATACTAAAATGACTACAATTCAAGCAAGGTCAATTCCATTATTATTAATGGGAAAAGATATTATGGCAAAAGCTAGAACTGGTTCAGGTAAGACTTTAGCATTTTTAATTCCTATAGTTGAAATTTTAAATAAAATCCATTTCCAAACAAGAAATGGAACAGGTGCTATCATTATTTCACCAACTAGAGAACTTGCTATTCAAACATTTGATGTACTTGAAAAAATATTAGCTCATTCAGAAAGAACAAGAACATTAATTATTGGTGGAAGTAGTAAAAAAAAGGAAGAAGAAGCTTTAAAAAAAGGTGCTTCAATTGTTGTTGCAACACCAGGTAGATTATTAGATCATATTATTAATACTAAATGTTTTATTTACAGAAATTTAAAGTGTTTAGTAATTGATGAAGCTGATAGAATTATGGAAGTTGGATTTGAAGAAGAAATGAGACAAATATTAAATAGATTACCAAAGAATAGACAAACAATGTTATTTAGTGCTACTCAATCAGAAAAAGTTGATGATATTGCTAATATTTCATTAAAACAACCTGTTGTTATTAATGTTGAAAGTCAATCAACAATATCCACATCAAGTAAATTAGAACAAGGGTATGTTCTTATTGAAGCAAAAGATAGATTTAGATTATTATATACATTTTTAAGAAAGAATAAAAATAAAAAAACAATTGTTTTTATGTCTTCATGTAAAGCTGTTAAATTTTATAGTGATTTATTGAATTATATTGACATACCAGTTAAAGCACTTCATGGACAATTAGATCAAGATAAAAGAACAAAAGTATTTTTTGAATTTTGTAAAGCAAAAGAAGCTATTTTAATTACCACTGATATTGCTGCTCGTGGATTGGATATTCCTGCTGTTGATTGGATTATTCAAGTTGACCTTCCTGATTCACCAAAAGACTATATTCATAGAGTGGGTAGAACAGCTCGTGCAGATACTAAAGGACGTGCACTTTTATTTGTTCAACCTTGTGAAATACGTATTTTAGAATATTTAAAAGGAGAAAAGATTCCATTGACTCAATATGAAGTTCCTGAAAAAAAAATTGCTAATATTCAAAGAGAATTAGAAAAGTTAGTTGAAAAAAATTATTATTTAAATACTGAAGCAAAAGATGGGTATAAGGCTTATATTATGGCATATAACAGTCGTTCATTGAAAGATGTATTCAATGTAAATGATCTTGACATTGGAGGACTTGCACTTTCATTTGGACTAACAAATCCACCAAAAGTTCAATTAAATATACTTAAAGCACCAAAGAGTAGTACTCGATTTGAAAAGAAACGACAACTTAAATGATTGATTTTAGACTGAAAGTTTAGTTAATAATATTTCAATCAATTTTCTTTTTTCTATCAATTCTTTTTATTCAGAAAAATAAAGAAAAACTTAGAAAGTTATCTTAAAAAATTTTGATGGAGAATAGTCTTATTAAATATTTTATATTGTTTATCATTAGTTTAATTATTTGTTACATATTATACACTCCTTCTACTCTTAATTCTATTACAGGTTTAGATGAGTTTGTGTTATTAATACTTTAAATATTAAAAAAAATGTTTTAATGGATAGAAATGTATTTGTTCAACTTTATCAGCCTACTCTTCAAACAATTCAATCTCTAGTAAATTCTAATATTTCTTTTATAAAACTTATATTCATATCATTATCAGTTCATTTACGATTACCTCAAGATATTGAATCTTCATTAGTTGATATGTTATTTGCTTATAAATACGGTAAAGTGTATGCCTTTTGTATTTCAGTAATCATACATACTTTATCAGAAATTATTTTATTTTCTGTAATGTATTATTTATCAAAAATTTTATCTTCTTTTATTCCTAAACTTCAGCAAGTTCATTCATTTTCTTCTAAATTTTGGCCTTATTTTAGTAATGTTACATTATTCTCAATTTTTGTTCCAATTCTTCCTATCAGAATTTGTTGTGTATTATTTGGTTTAATTGGATTACCAATATTTTCATATGCTTTGGCTCAACTTCTTTCAGTATTACCACAAACTTATTTAAATATGAATTTAGGTGAAAGAATGACTGAAGTTGAATCAATTCGTTTTGAAAGTGATATTGTATTTCTTGTCTTATTATTATTTGCTTTAGGATTTTCATTAACAATTACCATTACTTTTACAGTCAAAAATTTCTTTGAAGATAAACAAGATAAGAATGAATAAATTGAACGTTTTAGTTTTAAGAAGCATTATGTTCTCTCTTAAAATAAAAAAAATAGAATATTAAATATTAAATAAATTAATTTAATGAACATTACTCAGAGTTTCAATAATATCATTTATTGCAGGTCTTCTAAATGGGTCTTCGTCCCATCCTTCTTCACATAATTGTTTGAGTTTTTCATTTTTAACCAAATCAACATCAGGTCTTGTCCCATTTAAAATTTCTCCTATTAATGAAGTCATAAAAGTAAATGATTCAAAAGGATGTTTGAATGTTAATATTTCCCAAATAACAATAGAAAATGAATAAATGTCTGATGACCTTGTTGGTGGTTCATTTTGAATAATTTCAGGTGCACACCATATAGGATTATCTACTTGAGAAACATAATGAGAATCATATTCTGAACATAACCCAAAATCACATAATACACATCTTATTGGGTTTTTTTTGATTAACACATTAGGTGATTTAATGTCTCTGTGAATAAATCCATTTTTATGTAAAACTTCTATTCCATGAGCAAGGTCAAGAATTAGAGACAATTGAATCTCTTCAGAAAATGGGGTTGATTGTTCATCAATATATTTGTAGAGATTTCCTCCTTCACAAAATTCATAATAAAGTGTCATATCTTCAATTGAGAATGAAACTAACTCTAATATCCATTGACATTTACACCTTTCAGAGACTTTAATTTCATTTACAAATTGAGTATAATTTAACATAAATGATTCTTTGGAATCTCCTTTGAATAATACTTTAGCAATAATTTCTTGTTGAGTATCATTTCTTATTGTTTTATATATTTCAGAATAACCACCTTCATTAATTTTTAATTTGTTTCCAACTTGAATTGGTTTCATTTCTCTCATATATATCTCATATACAAAATCAGGGAAACATTCAATCATAGTTATAATATGTTTACATTTAAAATTAATTTCTTCGTGTCTTACTGAATCTAAACTAAATTGCATTGGTGTAAATATTCCTTTATGAAGGCACTTTGGGCAGAAACAAAATCTTTTCTGAGGTGGGGCTGTATTTTGCAAAAGATGATATAGTCTATTTATACATTTGATAACTGACATATAAACAGCATAACTTGTTACCATAGTTCTTAGATGAAATGAAATTGTTTTCTCTGTTTTTTCTACAAGACAATATCCTTTTTGGTTCCATTCATTAATTTCAAGAATAACAAAATCTTCTGATTTTGCAATGATCTTATCTCCATTTAATAATAAACTAGCTACAACAGCCCCACCACTTTTTTTTGGAAATGGTGTTTCAAATTTTCTAGCAATTTCAAGTTCATTATCATAATGTTTTTTACTCCAATGGAGTTCTATCAAATCAGGTGTTTTAATAAATCTAAAGCAAAGAAAATGTTTTGGAAGTTCAATATTTGATAGTTCACAATGAGTCTGTTTTTCTATTATTTGTAAGAAACTATTTTGGTTAAGAATTGCGTTAATGTGATTAACTTGTTTAAAGGCATATGATAATTGTCTTTTTTCTTGAAATATTTTAGCTTCAGTTGATTCAAATCTAGTTTCTTCTTCTTCATTGAATATTATTTGAGTTGATCTTATATACTTTTCAACCAATGCTTCACTTCTATTCTTTTTAACAGTTTCATCGTCTAGAATAAAAATATCATTTATGACAGCAAAATGATAAAAAATCAAAAATGCCACTTGTTCATATTCTTTACCATAATCTTGAAAAACTGAAGAAACATCAGCAAAACTTCCTCTGAAACACGAATTTCTAGCTCTGTCATAAATGTCACGATAAATCCATGGTTTGACTAATATTTTATTGAGAAATTCTAATTTCGGATAGTTCAAACTTCTGAATGGGGATTTCCTGAATGAGTATAAAATTCCATATTCATGTAATAATTTTAAGACTTTTGATTTAAATGATTGTGGTTTATTGTTTATACATAATAAAGAAAATAGTTGTTGTTCAGTGATATAAAAAATATCACTAATAAATGTTAAACAAGTCATAACACTATTCTTCAATTCTACAGAAACTCTTTTCCATTCCATCTCTCTTTTAATTTTGCTTTTAGCAATAAATCCACATATTTTTTCTACATCAGATTTAGTGATTTCTCGAAGGATAGGAATTTTACAAATGTCACATTCAAATTTTTGTTTAATTAAAGAAGGAGAAGATAAAGATCCACTCTGACTATATTTTTTTTCTGTTAATTTAATTTGAAATGTGCTTTGAGAATTAACCTTCGTTTGTTTTAATTCAAAACCTTCAATTTCATTTTCAATAAAGTCTTTTATTTCAGAATATTTTTTCTTTTCAGAGTCACTGATAATAATAACTAATAATGGTTGTTCTATTTGAGCTTGTCTAAATAATTCTAATTGTGTTCTAATTTTATCTTCTAAATTAGAATCTGATAAGGGACAGAGTAGAATATGTTGTTGTTTTTTTGCAAATAAAGAAGGGATTGTACTTGAAACAGGAGCCAATTGGAAAGGAATAACTATACCATTTTTCAATACAATAGTATTTTGAACTCTTTGAATTTGAGACAGTGGCTCTACTACTTTCCAAAATAGGTCATAAAGCTTCTTATGAGAATGGAACGTAATTCTGAATAAATCCATAGCAGGTGGTACTTGTTGGCCACTTTCTTCTGACATGTTGAAATAGAATGCAAGTTTTGATTCTATTTTTTTGGTTTGGATAAACAAATCTATTTATATTAAACTAAAAATAAATAACCTTAATCTTCTAGAAGAATTTATGAATTAACATAAGTTGATCTTTGAGCAAAGTGTAGTGTCAACTGTTTCATTGTTTTGAACAGCATTTAATACTTTAACATAAATTTCTTGTGCAATTACAAAACAGTAATGATGTGGTAATTCTCTTGAAAAGATAGTACAAAAGTCAAGAATCTTCTTATTCAAATTCTCTACTGTCTCTCCTTTAGTTATATAATCAAGTGCTATTCCTACAAATGACTCACAAATTTTACAAGTAGCGATATTTCCTATTCCTCCAAGTGGTTTAAAACTTTTTTGAGAAATAAATTCTTCACAAATTGGTTTTGGAATATTATCAGGACATTCAATAGCAAATTCTTTTGATTTAGCTTCCATTTTAGAAACTATGTTAACTTGTTTAGAAGAAACAAGAGAAATAAAAAGAATAACATCGAATATATTCATAAACCTGTTGAATCGAATGAATTTTTAGTTAAGATTTTTTTATTTTTTATTTTATCTTTTTAAATCTCAATTTTTCTTTAAAATCTTGTTATCATAATAAACTCTTAAAATTTTATTTCTTTCATGCAACAACTAGAAGTTATAAATGAATTTCTTGATACAAAATCAATTGTTATATCAGAAAATGATGAACAAAAACCTACTAGTTTGCTATATTCTTATATCTTAAATAAAAAAGTATTAAATGTTTAGTTTATTTTATATCCAAACAACCATTTTGTGAATCAGAAGGACAAAATGTTATTGAAGAAATAGAAAAAAACCCTGAAAAAGGATTAATTATGACAAACGATAAATATAAAAAATATCAGATTGAAGTTCCAATTGAAAGAAATATTACTACCTCTTATTCTGTTGATGTTATTTCTCCTGCAACACAACATGATATTGAAAAAAATAAACCACAAAAATATGAGTTATTTACTGAAACACCTCAAATATTCAATTCAATTACTCTACCATTCATTAATTCTATTCCATCCTCAGAATTTCAATGGATTTATAATATTCTGAATGGTACAGCTGAACAAAACAATGTACTAATTAATGATGATGACTATGTTTCTCTACTTGATATGAAATGGGATCGTCAAAATCTTAATCAAGTTTATGGGTTAGTATTAGTAAGAGATCATTCAATTCATTCATTACGTGCTTTAAATCAAAACCATATACAGTTATTAGAAAGAATAGAAAAAACAACAATGAAAATATTAACAAATAAATATGGATTAAAAGAAAATGAAATTATTACATTTGTTCATTATGTTCCATCATTTTGGCATTTCCACATTCATTTTTGTACTATTCATTCTCCACTATTTCAGTCATTAAACTCAGTTATTGGACGTGCCATTCCGTTAGTTGATATCATTCAAAATCTAAAAATGAATGGAAATTATTATCAAACAATAAATATTGGACTTCGGCTAAATACAGTTCATCCACTTTACAAACTGTTTAAAAGTAAATGATTTATTTTATTTCCTTTTTGAGCTAGATTTGTTTTAAATGAGAAACAAAATAGAAAGAAAACCCTAAAAAAAGAACAATAAAGAATATCAACGAATACTACTTAACAATTTATTTCGATAAAATTAAATCTTATTATTCATTTAATCATTCAAATGAACTTTGGTAACCAAAAATTAACTTTGTTCCAAAATATCTTAACTGTCATTTTCTTCTTTTTCTTTGGAAGTTCATATTTAATGTTCTACAATACTTTATTGAATGTAGGAGATTTATTGGCTACTCATTTTACTTATGACTTGAGTTATATGTCAACATTTCCTTTGTTCTACAATTGGTTCAATTTTTTAATTGCTATTATTATGACATACCTTGCTAGTTCATTAAAAAGTTTCCCACATAACATCTTAGCTCATACCAGTTTCATTTTACATATTCTTTTATTTGTTATCACCCCATTTGCCCTTGTTTTTATTGAAGGAAATGCTGCAGGATTCTGGGTTATGATTTGTATTTCAACTTTTAATGGATTACCAACTCCAATAAATTCTTCTGTGTTTATGGGATTATCAGGAATGTTCAGTAACATCCATAGTGCAATTTATTTCATTGGTATGGCTGCTGGTGGATTAATTTCATCACTTCTTAGAATGTTGAGCAATGCTATTTTCAAAGGAAAACCTGATAATGATTATTTCCTTACTTTTTATATGAATGGTGTTGTATTACTTATTAGTTATGCCATGTACATGTATATGTATTTCTGCATTCCTTTAACTAAAGAACTTTATTCCCAAAGTAACCAAAAAGAAGAGTCTGTTACTCTTCTTACTTGTGAAGGTGAATCTAAAAGCGGTATTAAAGGATTCTTCCGTGTATTCAAGAAAATGTTTATTAACCTCTTCTCCATTGGATTCATTTTCTTTGTTACTCTTTCTATTTTCCCAGGATTCTTCACTGCAACATCTTATGATGAAAGTACTATTAATCAATCAACAACAGTCATGATTAATACATTTATATTTATGTTAGGTGATCTTCTTAGTCGATTTGCTGTTTATATACCAATTCCATGGAATAAATGGCCAATTCTTGGACTTTCAGTTGTACGTGTTGTGTTCTATATTCCTGTTTTCATTTATTATTACGAAGTATATGACAATCCATTTGTTATGTTTGCAATTATGTTATTATTCTCATTCTCCAATGGTTATGTCTCTGCATGGGCTATCCAAATTGCTTATAAAGATGTTGATCCAAATGATATGAAAATTGCAGGCAATTTAGTCATGGTGGCAATGAATGTTGGACTTTCAATTGGAGGAACTTTATTATTCATTATGAGCAGTACTTTACCAACGGCTGGATCAAGTTCTTAAACTAAATTATTTTTTTCTTTCTAATCTTCCAAAAAAAAATCTTATTTTGAAACACAAAAATTGAAACTTCAAAGATATAAATAAATAAAATTTCCTTAATATTTCAGGATATTAGGATGAATTTCAAACAAGAATATTTAAGGTTAAATAAAATGACAGATATTAATAACGTGTCGACACATAATTTGATTTATTAAAACCTTAGAATTTCTTAAAATATCATTTCATTTTTACAAATGGCTGCTAAGACTGTTAACTATAAAGAACTTGGACTTTGTAATCACAAAGAAATGTTTGAACATGCTATTAAAGGAGGATTTGCTGTTCCAGGTTTTAACTTCAATAACCTTGAACAAATGCAAGCTATTATTCAAGCATGTACTGAAGCTAAATCACCAGTTATTCTTCAAGTATCAAAAGGAGCACGTGAATATGCTAATGCTACTCTTTTGAGAAATCTTGCTAAAGGAGCTGTTGAATATTCAAAAGAAATTGATCCAGAACATAAAGGTGTTCCAATTTCACTTAACCTTGACCATGGAGCTAACTTCCAAATTTGTAAAGAATGTGTAGATAACGGATTCTCTAATGTTATGATTGATGGATCAGCACTTCCATATGAAGAGAATGTTAAATTAACAAAACAAGTTGTTGAATATGCACATAAATTTGGAGTTACTGTTGAAGGAGAACTTGGAGTTCTTTCAGGAGTTGAAGATGATGTTGCAGCAGCAGAACATGTATTTACTGATCCAAAGGATGTTGAAGCATTTGTTAAAGACACAGGAGTAGATGCACTTGCTATTTCAATTGGAACATCACATGGAGCATACAAATTCAAACCAGGAATGCATCCAAGAATTA